AAAGAAGGTAGGGTAGCTGGCACCGAATGACTTGCTGCAAGATGCATTCTGTCTCAGATTGAGATCAACCAAAAGCGAGAACAGTACCGGTCAGTAGCGACACGTGGCTCGGTTATGTACTTCTGTGTCACTGATATGACGTTGGTGTCGAACCCCATTACTTTGCAGCCTACAGGCTGGATGTACAACTGCTCCCTTATCCAGTTCCTAGAGCAGTTCGACATCTCTGTGAAGAATTCGGAGAAGTGCCAGCCGACCATGAAACGCGTTGACAAGATTATTGACTATCTTACCTACCAGATTTACCGGTACATGAATCGTGGCCTCTTTGAGAGGGATAAGATGATGTTCAAGTTGATGGTGACTATGAAGATTATGGTTGTCGCTGGTAGGCTCACTCAGGGCGATGTTGGGCTCTTCTTGAAAGGTGGCTCGGACCTGGACGTGAAGTCAGAGAGATCGAACCCCAATCGATGGATGGTGGATAAGGTCTGGCTCAACGTCCTGCAGCTGTCGCGGCACTCCTTTGGCAAGGAGCAGCTGCTGTTCTTCCGGGAGCTGCCTGATTTCATTAGTCGAAATGAAGCCGCGTGGAGAGTGTGGTATGATGAGAACGAGCCCGAGAGATGCCCGGTGCCGGACTACGAGGAGCGGCTGAATATGGATAGGAACATTGGGTTCTTCCTTCGAATGTGTCTTGTGAGATGCATCAGAGAGGACAGGACGACTATCGCTGCTGCGCAGTTCATCAATAAACAGCTCGATCCGAAGTACACGGCACCGGTCACAGATAGTATCGACTCGATCTACTGTGAGTCCCAGAACCGTAAACCCGTGTTGTATTTGTTGAGCGCTGGAAGTGATCTCACATCTATGATCGACGACATAGCAAAGAAGAAAAAGAAATTCCCGACGGATATGTGTCCATGGGTGAGGGACAAGAGGTTATCGCTTGGGAGAAGATGAAGAATGGCTTCCTAGCTGGGACATGGGTCATCTTACAGAACTGCCACTTGGGTCTGGG